ACGTTTTCTAAATTAAATTTTCCTCCCCCCCTTCCCTCTCTCCGCTTCCCTCCTAAAGTTTTATTATACATTTAAAAATTTAATTTTTAGCTAACGGGTAACACATTGTAACGTTTTCACTTAATGAAAAAAAAAATAATAATAATAATTTTTTTTTTACTTTCCCCTTCGTATCATTTTCCATTTTTTTTGTGAAAAATTTAATTTGAACTTTGAAAACTTTTTTTTTTTTATAAAAAAAATATTTTATTTGAAAAGATTAAATTAAAGTTTTTAAGTTAAAAAAAAAAAAAAAAAACATGTATCTGTATAAACATATATATACAATAATAAACAATTACATAAAAAAATATAGTATACAAAGATAAAATAAAAAACCATTGTAAAAGAGAGAAAGAGAAAGAGAAACGGTAAACAAAATAAAAAGATTATTTTGGAGAAAGAAAGAAATAATAATAATAATAATAACAAAACAAAATAAATAGTGGAAAATCCTATGAAGATACAAAAACATGGCAGAGCTTTAGTATAAAATAAAGTGATTGGTGGAATGAAGTGGAAACATATAAATATATATGTAATAATAGATATAAACAAAAGTTTCTTTTCTTAACCGAAATCCGGGAGAAAACAAAAAAGAAATTTTATCCGTTAAAACATGGCTTCTTGCTTTTTTTTTATAGTTTTTTTTTTAAATTTTATTTACGGCACGAGTAAATAAATAAATAAATAAATATGTTCATCGTAAAAATTTTAATAGTCTATGGATAAAATGTAAAGAGATGGAATTAATATTGAGTGACGAATCATCATCATCATCATCATTATGACGAACGACAACAATTTTTAATTTGGAATAACGTCAATAACATCACGTCAGTCACACAGCAGAAGACGAAATTTTCCTTTCTTTCATTCAAAATAATCTGGGGAGAACAAAAGAATTGTTAAGATATTGATTTCAATGAACCTAATTAAAAAACAATAAATTTAATTTTGAAAATAATAATAATAATAATAAATAAATAAGTTTAAATCGCGAAGGAATGTAACAAAAACAAACACAACAATGAAACTATATAATAAATTCTGAATTCGTTACTGACAAATGACTCTTTCACACCGAGAACTTTATGATAATAAATAATTCATGTAATAAATTACGAGCCAACTTTCACACTCAATATTATTGACTTGAATAAGAAAATTTTTCCCTTTTTTCTCTCATAAAAATCACCGACATTTTTTTCCCCCTCCCCCTCCCCCTCGATTATGCGACGATCATGATTGTAAAAATATATTTTTACCTTAGAGCATAATAATAATATTAAAAAAAAAAAAAAAAAAAAAAAATTCAAATATAAGAAAATGTGTAAAATTTTCCATTTACAATTCATTCAAAAGCAATTAAAATTTATATACACAAAAATACGCACGCGTTAATTATTATTAAATGAATATACTTTACATTTATATACGCATAAGCAAATAATTCTTTTTAAATTAAATATTTAAATTATATATTTAATTCGTACCGAATTAAATATATTAATTTTCTCTCTGATGCGTATTTAAACTTCCGGTTTTTTTTAAAAGAAAAATATAACGACGTAAAAATAATAATAATAATATTTATTTAATGTTTGATAATATTAATGTTTGATGTTAATAATGTTTGAAATTGATTTTCTTTTTCTTTCCTTCGTTTCCATACGTTTCCGTTCGAGACAGTCATCAAAAAAAAAAATAATAATAATGATTATCTTTTTGTTTGAAAGAAAAAACAGGAAAGAAATTAAAGTGTTTTATTATTATTATTATTATTACTATTACTGAAATTAGTTTTCACGTTTAAACATGAAAACGTTTACGTTAATTAACGTCGTCGTCGTGTTAAAAATGCATTCCGGAAATGATTTAAAAAATTTTCTTTATTTTTATTCGGGAACGTGAATGAATTTTCCAGAGATTTTTCCCGTCCCATTTCTTTCTCATTTCTCTCATTTTCCTTTTTTTTTTTTTTTAATTAATTTATTGCGACGAGGAATTATAAATTCGAAAAACAAAAAAAAAATAAAATAAAATAATAATAATAATTTTAATAATGGAGTCGCGGGAAATTCCCCCCCCCCCCTTCTAAAATTCGTCTTTTTTTTTTTAAAGAGAGACAAAAAAAAGTTTAATGTAAAAAACGTAACAACTTTTTTTTTGTTATTTTATAATATAAGTAATAAAACTTTTACTTGTATATATATATATATATATATATATATAAATCATCATCATTATTATTGTTATTATTTTTTTTTCCGCCCGTTGTAAAATTCAAATTGTTTTTTTTTTTTGTTTAAATTAAAATTTTTCATTTGTCGCTTTTTTTTCTTTTTTTTTTTTTAAATAAAAATTATTAATTTTTTTTTATTTACATAAGGCATTAAATAAATGAAATTCATCATCATCATCATTATTATTATTATTATTATTATCATCATTCGTGATTTTACATTTTTAAATAAATAAAATAAAAAAAAAATTCGGACGAGAAAAAAAAACAAAAAAAAAAAAAAAAACAGACAGAAAATTGAATTTTTTTTTTTTTGGGTTCTGTTCTCGAACATTCGTGCGATGAAAATAAAAATTATTATTATTATTATTGCTATCCAAAGTGGGTTTAGAATTTTTTTTTTTTTTGTTAAATGATAATAATAATAATAATAATAATAATAATAATTTTTAAGGTGTGTCGGGGTTCATTAGTCTAACGCCAAATTCATCAATTTCTAATCGGAACAAATAAGAAAACCGATATTGAAATGAAAATAATGAAAATAATGATGATGATGACGATGATGATAATGATGATGATGATGATGATGATAATGATGATTATAACAACGCAACATTTTTTTCTTTTCTAAAAAAAACCGTTAATGACGATTAATTTTTAAAAAACTTTTACGCTTTTCGCGTTTTATAAAAGAAAATTAAAAATTATCATTATCATTATTATTTTTAACGGATTATTAATTTCATTATCATTATTATTTTTAACGGATTATTAATTTCATTATCATTATTAATATTTATCATCGTAACTAATTAGATGATACAAAAGTTAAAAAATCAAAAAAAAACTTTTTAGATATATATATACGAAACCATTTTTGTTTTTAATCTAGATAATGTTTTTGTAATGAAATAATAAATTTTAATCAGATTTTATATATAACTCGAAGGATATATCGCGGTTAAAATAACAAACGAACGATATCTCGCGAATTCGATTTAATAATAATAATAATAAAAGAAAACGTAAATTTTATAATTAAAATAATATTTTTTATAATAAAATGACAAAAAAGCAAAATTTTTTAACGGAAATCATGTTTTGAACTTAATAACGAAGCGTTCGATGTGAAAATTTTATTTAAATACCGCGAAAACAAAAATTTTAACCGTTAAAATTTCCGACGTTCGATTTAACGTTTTTTTATCAATTTCAAAAAAATTTTACCCCACACCACTAGCGCCACATCGAGTACACGTCATCGGTTTGCGTGAAATTTACAAATGGAGGATGCAAAAAAAAAAAAAACCGTTACGAATAATTGTCACCGTAGGTGTTGCAATTCGCATCAAACGACGGCATTTTATTAATTAATGATTTTTTCTTTTTTGGCTCGAGTTTTTACTTTAATTGTTTAAATAAGAAAACAAATTATAAGAAATCGTTAAATTTTAAAATTTTTATGATGTGAATAATGATACTTTTACCCAGGGGAAAAAAAAAACTTTTAAAAAAAAACTTACCTTTTATAAATGTACGTTTAATATCCATGATTATTCTAAAACATCTATGTGGAAAAAAAAAAAAAACGTTTTTCGATAATTTTTCTACTTTTTTTTTTTTTAATTATTAAAACATTTACCGAACTGCACAAAAAAAAAAAAATTCAAGACAAAAAAAAATTTTTTTTTTATATAAAGATGAGAGAGCGAATCGCGTAGATGTTCACCCGATGAAAGTCGAATGCTGACTGAGGGAAATTTGTCGCACGGAGTCGAATCTGAAACGAAAAAATGTTTTATTTTTTCACCGATAGATGTCTCAGTTGGCAAAATTGTGTATATATCTTCGAATAATAATAAGAATAAATAATTAACCGTTATTCGATATTCGTTATAAAAAAAAAATTTAAATTTTATTTATTAATATTTATAGAATTTATTTATTCGTTTATTTAAATTATACTCATTAATAATTTTATTATTAATTAACTAATTATAGAAATTATACGAAGATCGAGAGAGAGAAAAAAATTAATAATAATAATAAATTTAAAAAAAAAATGGACGAACGAAGGAGGGAGGGAATTAATTTTTAATTTTTTTTCTTTTTATTTCAAAATGAAGAATAAATAAGTCGTTAGTACTTTTTTTTTGTTTTAAAAGTAAAAACGTTTAATTACTACTAATTATGACGCGACAGTTAAAAAAAAAAAAAACTAAATTAATATTAATAAAAAAGTTTTAAACTCGAGACAAAAAAGAAAACATGTCTCCCCTCGTAAATTATTAATATTATTATTATCTTATTTTAATCGGTTTTATAAAAGTTTTTAATAATAATAATAATAAATTGTTCTTTTTTTGATTTCAAAGCGATATATCGATTATTCGAGATACGATAAAATCGAGTTTGAAAATTGTCGTTTGTCTATCGTAACGTCTATTCACAATTTTCTTTTACGCTTTATTGTTTTCTGTAATAAAAAATAAAAGTCACGTGATTAAAATGATTTAGTAGGTAAACAACCGCCATTTTGTTTTTAAATGAATTTTATTATTGTACACGCCATCTTGATTATTTAAAAAAGTAATCACTGTTATATTATTTAAAAAAAAAAAAAAATTTGTTTTGTTAAATTTACACAACGTAAAGTCATTCATTCATTCATTCATTCATTGAATGATAATTAAAATAATTTTTTTTCTTAAATTTAAAATCTGAATTCTTTATATTTTTTTGTCGGTTTTGTTTCTTGAATTTGTGCTCTTTTCCTTTTATTCTGAAAGAAAAAAATAAATAATAATAATAATAATAAAATGAAAACCATTTTAGTTTTTTTTATATGTATATAAACCTAAAAAACTCACCTTTTGTCTCGACACGTGTTCGACGACCATATCCGACAAATCTTCTTTTTGCAATTGCGATTGTTGTTCCCGAATTTGTTGTTCGTATCGAACAGCCATGGCATCCGTGTCGACCAAATCTAATTCTGATGGATCCAAAGCGAGTTCGACCATTCCCGATCCTCCGGCTCTTCTCGGGGGCAAAGGAGCACCGCTTCCCGTCGTCGTCGTCGTCGTCGTCGCGTTCGTCGGATTCATTTCGTAAACGTGTGTCGAAGCCATCATGGCTCCTCCTATTCTATCGACTCGTTTCTCGGGAAGGACTTGATATAATGCCGGCGTTTCCGATCTGTTTAAAATTAATTTTTAATTTTTAGTGACGAACCTACAAAAAAAAAAAAAAAAATCAATTGACTCACCCTTCCATGTCGCTTTCGATTTTCTTCTTTCTCAATTCGATTATTTCCGGTGTTTCTAATCCGGCGGGAATGGATGTTATGCCCGACGGAGTGACCAATCCTTCCGCCGGCGTCACCAATCCCGTTTCGTCTTCTTTCGGTTGTTCCTCTTCTTCCTCTTCCTCCTCTTCCTCGCTTTCCTCCGATTCCGATTCCAATTCTCCCCACATGGTGCGATCCACTTCTTCGTCTTCTCCCTCGGATGGAATAATCGTTCCGAGCGTTCCGAAAACGTCACCGTACAGGGGTTTGCCACTTTCGTCGACGGGAGGTTTTCCCCAACCGCCGGCGTGATACCCGAAAGAACAACCTTCGGGTATGGGAGCGTTCAAACCTGGAATTTTTAAATTGGGATAAGAGGGAGGAGGACCGTAACGCTGCATGGCAATCAACCAAGGCGGCGGAACCTGAAACAAATTTTTTTATGTAATTAAACCTGCAGGCATTAATACATTTTTGCGTGAAAACATTCGTCGTACCTTATGTGCACTCGGTCCAACCGGCATGCCCAAAGCTGTTCTTAATTCGTCCGTTAGATCCCCTGGTTTTTTCTCTTTTAATTTCGTCTCGAATTCTTTTCCTTCGTAATATAAATCACCGTGAATGGTCATTTTCGGTTTGGTCTGCCACCTGCAAACACACGCACACACATACAATCGTGAAAAACTACTTAAAAATACGGAATGCCAAGAGAAGTAATATGAAAGTTATTATCGATTGAAAACTTTTTCTTTTAGAGAAAATTCGATTCGAGTTTCCTTTGGGAAATCATCAAGTTAATATTTTTTAATCGATTTCAAAACTTATTTCTCCGGTTTTCTTTTTTTTTTTTTTAAATAAACTTTTATTCTCACTTGAAAAAGGCATCGTGAAGTTTTTGATAATCAATATCGATTTTTCCCAATTTGGGACGAGCTCTCTCTCTCATTTTGGCTTTCAACGTTCTTTGATCTTCTTTTTCCGTGAGCGCCGCTCTCATTTCCATGATTCCCGTTTTTTTTATGAAATCCGGAAGGTCGAACGGCGGTTTTTCTATTCCCCTTTTCCCTTGCAAATACTAAAAAAAAATGTTCTCAAATGAATAATCCATAAAAAAATTTGAATTTAATTCGATTTCTGAAATATTTGACCCATCTCACCTTTCTTTTAAAACACCAATGCCTGGGAACGGGTACCGTGTTTCTATGTGCTTTCAATTGGACTAATAATTTTGGATCTCTAGCGGTTACGTCGTGCATTTCGACGACATCTGGTCTGTTGACCAATTGCTTTAATTCTGCCACGCTCAACCTTGTTAATTTTTTCAATTTCCTTTTGGAAAGCTTGGGTTTTCCATCTTCACCTTTTTTCTAGAAAATAAAAAAAAAACATTTTTATATTTCTCGAATAAAATTATTTCCATTATTATTTTATTTCGAAAGTTACCTCATCATCTTCTTCTTCGTCAATGTCACCAGTTCCATCATCTTTTGGAGCTTTTCTTGGTCTTTCTTCCGATGTTCCAGAATCCGTTTTGGCATCAGATGATTTATCAATGTCAGATATTCGAAATATTTCAAAAATTTTTGCAAATTGTTTATACATCGGATCTAATTCATTCAAACCCAATGTTTCTGTAATGTATCTGAAACGAAAAACATTTTTCGATTAATAATAAAATTCAAAGAATAAAAAAATAAGTAGGTTTAATGATAAATGATAAAAGTTAAAGTACTTACTCTACTTCTACATCGACTTCATTCTCTTTATCTTTTTGATTTTTTTCTTCATTTTTTTTATTTTCCATTTTTTCCATTTCTAATTGTCTATCTCTTTTTTTCCTTTTTTTCTTTCTCTTATTTTTGGTTTCCTTTTTCTAAAAACAAATATAAATAAATATTTATGTATTTATTACTTCCCCCGCTTTAAGTTGTTAACCTAATTTAAATGATTTTTTAAAGTTTTTTTTTTTTTACCTGTTGAACCTGTTGTTCATTCACTTCTTTGTTGTTCTGTTGTACCGAGTTAACTCTTTCATCTCCTTCCTCTTCTTCGACTTCTTGATTATTAGAATTTTCAACATTGTTAGTTATGAGGTTATCATCGTTTTCATTTTTTTCCACTCTTTCATCATTATCATTTTTAGCAACATTCTTCTCATCATTATTATCAACCTCATCTTCTTCATCATCATCATCATCTAAAGTTAAATTTGAATATTTTTAAAATGAATAAAATTTTTAAAAAACGATAGCAGAAGTTAAAATGTGTTACAAACCATTTTCCTCTCCGCTAACACCCAACTCTTTAGCTCTTTCAGATTTAAACGCTAATGCTTGTTCCAAAGCTTGTGGTAATTTGAGTTCTTGATTTTTAACATCAAGAGGTACATCAACTTTCATCGTTAACAGAGATGGCAATGTTGGTGAAATTTGATTATCTATCCCAGGAGGAGGAGGAGGACTATCCTCTGGTCCAGGAATCGGAGGTTGTTGCATTTTTTTGCAATATTATAAGGGTAAAAACGCGTTTTTAAAAAAAAGTGACTTTAAATTATAACCTGAATGTTTTAATTACCCAGAAGAGTATAATACTCATACTTCCTGAACCATTTTTGGTACTCTAACAACACTTACAAGCCTATTTGTTATAAGTGCCGTAAATATTATTTTGATTAAAAAAAAAAAAAAAAAAATTAGACACTATTACGCGTAATTGTAAAAAATAAAATTATAAATAACTGCAAATATTTAAATTGAAATAACCAATATTAAGTCACAATTGCTAATGTTAAAAAAAAAAATACATTTAAACAATCACAAAGCTTTTCACATTTTTTTTACTAATAATAATAAAGTTTTATATTAAATTCACACCACTGCAAACAAAAAAAACTTTAATCAACTATTTAATAATCGTGATAACGCTAAAGTATTGGATAATAATCCAAAAGTAAAGTAAAATCTAAAATAAAATAATTTACCGATTACTTTAAGCATACATAAGCCGACAATGCGTTAGAAATTCTTCTGCCACGACTCCAAACTGATACTGTGCAATTATATAGTAAACTATTATAATATAAATATACAAAAATTATTTTTTTTAAATTTTTTTAATATTAACTTATTTTTATAAATTATATTTTGTACATTTTGATTTTCAAACGCATTTCATTATTTTTGTATACAGAAAACTGAAAGTTTAATTAATTTATTTTTATATATATTATTTATTATTTACAAGATGAGTATGAAGTAGGTTTGAAATTTTTTAAAATTTATATAAGTAAGAAGTAGTAGAGAGAGAGATGTAATAAATAAAGAAAATAAATTTATTACAGTGATACAGTAGAGCAGCCTTACGAAGGGCAAAAGTTTAAATCTTTTGATGCATTGAAAAAATATTTAGAAGAATATGAAGAAAAAAATTTTGTCAAATTTTGGATTAGAAGTAGTCACACGAGAAATTCATTTAAATCTAAAATATCTAAAACAATGAATCCAGATTTAAAATATGTTTGCATTAAATTTGCATGCATATTCGGTGGTGAAAAAATAAGATGCAGAGGTACTGGAATTAGAAAAAGATCAACTTACAGAGATCTAGGATGTCCTTGCATGATAAATGCAGTCGTCGGTGAAGATGGTAATCATGTTAGACTAGATACGGTTATACTTCAACACAATCATGTTGTTTGTAAAACATTGTATGATTCCATTAAAAAAACAAAAAGAAAAGGGCAAAAATTATTTAAAACAAATAAAGACATACCGCAAATAAATGAAATTGTTAATTATAATAATTTAGATATAGATACCAACAAAGTAGACAATTTAATTTCGCAGGATGTGTTTATTAATCCAGTCGGAAAAGATGATGATAATGATAAAGTTTTGATTGAAAATCAAGATTTTTTATTAAATCAATCTGAAACAACTGAAAATTATTTACAAAGGATTAAAGATAAATATGGAACTAATGTTAAAATTTTAGTCGTCGATTCCGAAACTGCTAACGATGAATATGATGATTTATCACCGATGGACAATGAAAAAGAAAACACATCTTTGGAATGTAGTTTCAAAGAAGGTGAGTGAGTCTCACATATTTTACTATTTACTACCATATTTTTAATAATTAATTAAACCAAGATAACATTTTTAGATTCTCTAAAAGTTTGCCGACTCTGTTTATCTTCGAAAGAAAAATTGACTCCTATTTTCAATCCGGATTTACCACTTAAAAGTACAGTTTTATCATTTAAAATAATGGGTTGTGCTTCGATAGAAATAAGTTGTGATGATGGCCTACCTAATAACATATGTAAAACCTGCGAACAAGATCTTGATATAGCTTATAAATTCAGAATCAGATGTGAAAATTCTGATTCCATTTTAAGAAAAACAAATCTAAACAAATTGGTGAGGGATTGAAAATTTTTTAAAGTTATAATAATGAAAATAGGTTCTTCTTAATGTGTTCCATTAACTTTCCAGATAAACCCCTCGGAAGAAAATAGTAATGGCGTCACTTTTTTAGAAGAACAGACTGATTGTGAAGTTGTAATGCAAGAAAATTTAGATTCTTATCAAGAGATATCGAAAGAAAATAATAATTCAAAGTCTGAAATGTTAAGCGATTACACACGACAGGAAAACATGTACTTACAATTTGATATTCCTTGTCCAGTTTGCGGATTAGAATTTGATAATTGTGAATCAACACTCAATCACTTGGATACCCATACGGAAAATGAAAATTTACTCCTTACTTGCAATTTGTGTAACGTTATATGTCTGTCTTTAAAACAATTACAAGATCACATCAAAGAACATTTAAACGAAATAAAACCAAATGTGAATAAATGTTCTCATTGTAAAAAATTACTGTCGACAGAGGAAGAACTTAGGGATCACGAAAAACAATGTCACGAAAACGACGGTCAGGTGAAAAAGGCAACGGAAATGAATTACCTGTGTAACATTTGCGGGAAAATATTGAAAACGAAAGACAGGTTCAGATCTCATAAAAACACACACGACGGCATCAGACCCCATATTTGCCTCAAATGCGGGAGAGGATTCGCGGACAGGAAAAACATGCATCATCATTACAACGTGATACATTTAAAAAAACCTAAACTCGAGTGTCCGGTGTGTCAGAAAAAATTTTACACGAGAACGAAAATGAAATCTCACATCACAATGCACTACGGAGTCAAACCCTTTTCGTGCGACGTTTGCAACAAAACGTTCAGATTGAAAATGAACATGATCAAACATAAGAAAACGCATTCGAACGATCGTCCTCACAAATGCGATAAATGTCAAGCCGCATTCATAGACAAAAACATGCTCAAAAGACATTCGTACATACACGGAGGAATACGACCTTTTCCCTGTCCCATTTGCGGTCATAGATTTTCCGTAAAGTTTCATTTGAAAAAACATTTGGAAAAGGGAAAATGCTGTTCGAAAAATGCCGTTACGACCATAACCGGGACACCGGATAATTATCAATGGGTCGAAGAATTTCAACAACCGGAAGTTAATTTCGCGGGAAACGAATGTTTGATTGTTTACAAAGCGAGCGATGGGATTGGAGAACAAAATTCGGAAAGTATCGCCGTAGATATATTACAACAATATCCACAAAATACAAATTCGTAGTAGCCGCGCGTTCACAAATAACAAGAGTTTATAAAACTACGCGAAAAAATGCCTCGTCGATAGAGCGACGTACGAGCGCAATGTTTTTTTTTTTTTTTTTTTTTTAATAAACTTTTTTGTTTCTACGCGTTAAATTACGAACATTCTAATTTACATAACGTGTAATTATACGAATTTAAAAAAAAAAAAAAAAGTAATATAATTTATACATAATTAAAAAATTGTTTTACGTACTTTTTTTTTTTTTTCTAACATTGACATTAATCGTCGGTCCCATAAATCGTAAGTTCAAATGAAATTCATCGAATTCAAAAAAAAAAAAAAAAAAAAAAAAATTATAAAAATTCGCAACCGGCAAAATTTTTCGGGTCAATCAATTCAAAATAATAAATGCATGATACTAACCAGTCAAAGGGTAATGTTTTCATGTGCGACATGTTGTATTTCGGTTGAGGATTCCATTTTTCACTCTGATAAATGATAAAATAAGATGTTTCACATAGAGATCCGGTGGTGTTGGCGTGAAATGGAAGCGTTTTCTCCAAAGCCAAACTTTCAGGATCCGGACAACGTTTTAATATAACGCCACCATTTTTTTCAACCAATTGTTTTACGTCTTCTTTTCGTGCCGTTATGTTTTTTATGTTGTAACATTCGAAAACGCCTCCGAAAAAAAAATGACATCCGGTAAACAGACCCGGAAGTTGATTTTTTTTATTTAATTTTCCTTTGGCAAAACCTGAATATTTGTCGTCGGACGCTTCGTAGAAACTAGCCGATTTTAATGAATTATCTCTTATACTTTCTTTTGCCCCTAATAAAACAAATGTTTAAAATTATTATTAATAATAATTTAAAATTGTATTTATAAGACATTTTTTGAAAATTTTCATACACTCGACGGTAACCAACGAACATCCGGAAAGAACAGAAGAAATAAATCCCCAAGTCATTTCTAATTTTTCATCAGGTATAATAATATGAGTCGGTGAAGTTTTCCCCCTGAAATGTTAAGAAAATGTCAATAAAAACATTTTTTAATAGGATCAGGATTACAAACAATTATTACTCACGTTAACGAAGAAATCATTTTCAAATTAAATTTATCAACAAATTTATTAACAAGTTTTTCATCTTCAATACATAAATAATGTTGATAAATAATTAAATCTCTCACGTCGTTTTCTTGACAATTACTAACATTCGACACATTTAATTTAGAATTTTCAGAAGAGTTTAACAATAATTCTTTTAAATCGGAAAGATTGTATTTGGTAACCAAATCCCTTTAAAAAAATTTTATTATAGGTTATTATCATTCAAAAAGTTAAATTCAATTATTAAAAACAAAAATTAATCACACTCGAGTATTAATTTTTTTTTTTAATTAATAAATACTCACATGGGAGTTTCTTTAAAAATGTTCATAGCATTAATATCTGCTCCATAATTTAAAAGCAATTCGACAACTTTTCTATTACCTTTGGCTATGGCTTCATGAAGAGCTGTTGTATTTTCCAAACCAGGTATATTAACATTGGCACCATTATCTAATAAAAATTTAATCACTTCCGTATTTCCAGAAAATACAGAGTCATGCTAAAAAAAAAAAAAAAAAAAACAAAGACATTAGGTAAAATCAATCATGCGAATTTCATTTAACTCATGCGATAAAATTATTAAATATTTTAAAAATTACCAATGGAGTCCAACCAGCATTGTCTTTTGCATTAAGATTGGCACCTGCATCGATTAAATTTTTCATGACTTCAAAATTTGATTTTTTACACGCTAAATGCAACTGAGTTTCTCCTTTTGGATTACGTTTGTTTATGTTAATTTTAGGCGTAGTTTTACAATTTTCATTTTTTCGAGTCAAATTAGGTTTTTTTATCGGAGTCACATTCGAATTCGATGGTGAAGTTTCTTTCGATTTTAGTGATCTTTTAGATGATGAACTTCTACCCCTTGAACTTTTTCTAGTTTTTGTCGATGATGTAGAGGGACCATTAATAATTTCATTTTTATTCGAAATATTTTTTTCGAATTCATTTTCAGTACCATTGGTTGTTGATTTCGACTCATTTGATTCTTCAGGCACATTGTCAACTTCCAAAGTTTTTACAGTTGTCTCTTCTACAGATTTATTATTGTTAATGATATTTTCATTATTTTTTATCTTTTTACTTTCTTGTATTTGAGCAATTTCTAATTTTTTCTGTATACAACTTTCATATATACTTGTAATGCTGTCCATGGAAGGCAATTCAAATTTGAATAAACTCGAGTACAAATGTAAAATACCTTTATCATCACTAATTTTTAAAGGCTGGTCAAGTGGATCTTGACACATTGGACACACAGTTAAATTACCCACACAATTTTCACAAAAAAAATGATCACAAAGTCTATAAAATAACATTGAATCTTCTGTTTTCATTTCTGAACTGCAATGACAAATATTCAAAAAAAAAAAAAAAAAAAAATTAAAAGCATTAAATTAATAAGAGTATATACTATCGATAATAATAGTATTAATAAACATATATTACCATTTTTGACACTTCAAAACGTCTCTAAGTTTATTAATAGCATTTTTAACTCTATTAAAAACATTATCCATGTTGCTTTTAATCTAATTAATTAAATTTAGCGCCAAGTAAATCTTTTTATAATTTTAACGTGGCCGGAAGATGGCGGGTTTAAAAAAAGCGCGGAATTTTTAATAATCATCATTATTATCGTTTGAAAAACTTTATGTAACATTGAATTATTAATAATTTCAAATAATGTATTAATATGATACGGTAATTTTAACGAAAATAAGAAAAGGTTTATTGTAATTTATAAATTATACGGTTTACATCAACATATTTTGAAATATTGTTCTCAACTGTATTAACTGTCATTCTTAGTTTCTAAAATATTTTCCGTTTTTTGTAATTTCGTTTCATTAAAATATTTATTATAATTAAAAACTTCAATTTTTTCAAATTTTTTATCGAAAAAATCTAATCCTAATTTTTTCGAATCGTTTTCCTTAACGTCGTATTTCAAAACGAGAAGAGGATGATTTTCAATTAAAACCGTTATTCCAATCATGTGTTCAAACGGATGATAATGCATGCAACCGCTTAATTCCGTCATACGATCATTCGGAAATAAATTATTATAAGAAGCAAAAAATTTTCCCGTATTAACTTCCCAAACACCAATGTTACCATTTTGACAAAATGAAAATAAATACGAACCACATGGGGTTAAAGTTGAAACAGAGCGAACGCAAGAACTTGACAATGATTTGTACGTTTGTAATATTATTCCAGATACAAAATCGACTAAATATGAATTTTGCGATCGAACAGAAATAATTATTCTTCTTTGACTTGATTGTACGGCTATAAAATCAATAACTTTATTACAAGTTTCAGGAAAAGAAAGTTTTTTTTGCAAAATCCAAGAGTTATCGATAAGTTTTCTAATCATAATGAATCCCAAAGAATCACCTGATATGAGTAAAGAACCGTTACATAAAACTAAACAACTGATAAATCCTGAATGACCTCCAATTTCTTCGACTAAATTAAATTCTTCTTCTGTATTTTTACACCAGTATCGAATCAAATGATCTTTTCCACCTGTTATGACTTCTTCATCTGTCACCCATCTTCCACAATATATAAATGATGGATGGGGTAGTGTGAATAGGGGATTTTTTTGATTTAAACTCCATATTATCCCCTGACAATCGTTTGAAACACTTAGTAAATATTTATCATTAAACGACCAATCAATTTCATATATGTATCCTATGTGACCTGTTAAGTGATTAACTTCTTCACCGGATATAACATCATAAATAAATATTTTTGAACTCATACCGGCTGCTATGTAAATACCACTTCTGCTAAACTGCAAGCAAGTAAAACTATTTTTTCCAAAACCGAAAGATTTATGAACCTTATTTGGAATTTTACACGATTGAGTCGGAAGTCTTGACCATTTGAAAATTTTCAATAAATTTTTTTTTGATTCATTCGAAGAAGGAGGAGGAAGAGCATCATCAGCTTTTAAATTATTTTCTTCCTCAGAAAATTTCCTTCTGCCTTTTTGAATTTCAGGTGATATTTGTGTGATCTTATTTGAAACAATTTCTTTTATTGATATTTCAATAAAACCAGGGATTTTTTTTAATTTGTGTTCCGAATACAAATGATAAACCTGAAATAAATTAAAATTGTTTTTTTTTTTTTAAAAAGTAAATGATACTCATTAAATAAATAAATGAATGAATGAATGAACATTACAATTAACTCACATTACAATTTTGATGAGATATTTTACATTTTTTTCTTATTTTATAAAGTTGAAGTTTTAAATTGACATTTAAATTATTGCTACCATCAGATGCTAAAGGACTTATAAAAGCAAAAGCAATTCTTTTCTTATCTAAAAACAAATAAGAGAGTTTTAAATTGTTGTAAATAGTTAAAAATTATAAAAATTAAATTATAAATTTTTTAAAATGCACTGCGTCGACCTGTTTCATTATCTTCTTCATTGAAACATTTATATATGTCTAAAATAATTATTTTATTTTTCGAATTCAATTCGGAAAAATCTTTGTGAATGACCAATAATTTCCACCAATTCGATGAAATTTGCCTGGAAAAAAATCAATTAATTAAATTTTTTAAAAAATGTAAAAATTAAATAATTCTTAATTGTTTTACCTATTGACATTTTTAACAATGTTTTGTTCCAAAATGAAAGGACTTTTATAATGGTTAAGGTTTGAATTTGATGAATTCGCTTCAATACAAGAACCTAAAACTTTATCAATAAAATAACCTTCTATTTTAATTTGATGTACGGATATGTCAGGTTCTAAATAATGAAATTTTCCAATAAAAATTCCAATTAAATAAAAATTATCCATTTTTCTCTTAATTAAATAAAAAAAAAAAAAAAAAAAAAAATTGACAAGTTTTTACTTTTTTTTCTCTCTCGGTATTTTAGATAAACTACTTGTTTAAGATTTGGTTGTCATGACGACAAGAATATCATAAACACAAGCAGTTTGATATTATTATTACGTTATGTGTAAGACATTTTGTTTTTTTTAAAAAATTATGTACAAATATTAATTTTTTCAAGAATTAAATTATTTAAAAATGTTTTATGAAAAACAAAAATCAAATAATGCATATTAATAATTAAGCAAATTTATTTTAAATAATTTTAAAATTTTCTTATTATAAATTTATAATGATAATATAAATAAATAATTTGTATTAAAATAATGGCATTTGTACTTAATAAGGGGGAAAAAAAAAAAAAAAAAACAAAAAAATATTTGGATTTATCACAGTCGAAATTCAAATGCTTACTCAAAGAACTGTGCTATACTTTCGATAAAAAACAAAATGGATTAAATGTTTTATAAAATAAATAATTAACTGTGTTTTTTAAATATGTCAACCCACTAAGTAATAAAAATGTTTTAAAGTATTCGATAAAAAAAAAAAAAATTCTGTGATGGAAAATGTAATTTTTTTTTTTTTACATTCGAATAGTAATAATAATTTACTTTGAAAATGTCACACACCCTATTCTTACAAATTTGTAAGCATAAATTACAATGAAAATGCATTGAATTCTTAATAATAATTCATTTTTCATTTATACATCAGTCGATTTTTTGTTTTTTTTTTTTGTGCAATAAAGGTTTTAGCAAAAGTGCATTTAATAAAACATAAGAAATAAAATAATAATAATAGGAACCACTTTGAAATCTGATTTTACTCCTAACATACAATATTTAAACATACTAACAAAATAAATAAATAAATAATTGAAATTTGTCTTATCACAATGTGAGTTCCATAATGGCATTCACAATATCATTTTGATTATTTTTCAAAGCCTTTATGGCTTTACCACGAGAAACCATAGCCTGAGACATAACTAGCTCGATATCTTTTTCTTCAATTCCAGTTTCGTCAATATCTTCTTCCTCTGATTCTTCTTGTATGGGTGCAACTGCAGCATTATTATCACCCGATGCTGCCGGTTGGGGTGCTTTGAATTTTTCAGCAGCGGCTACCTGAGCTTGTTGACTTAAATCTTCGATTTTGGCTTCACCGAAAACAATATACGTGTCGGAAGCGGGATTTTTATAAACGTCCGGCTTATTTATAACAAATAATATATTTTTAGATTTTCTAATTGTTACTCTATTCACGCCTTGAACGGGTTTTAATCCCAATTTCGACATAATTTTTCTCGCCTTTTTTTCTCCCCGACTTTGTTTCGCTTTTGAAACATCGAGCGGTAAACTAGTAGAAGTGGATTCGGGGAATGTTGAACTTGTTGTAGCTGCAGAGTCTACTAATTCGGGCAAAGAATCGTCTGAATCAGAATAATTACTCCATCCGACAGCATCTTTTCCTTGTGATATAGAAGACGTCGGTTTGTCTATTTCTGTCATTTCTGGCATAATAATCTAACACCGGACTATCAAACAAGACTTAATACTAACAATGGCGTCTATCAGACCGCCAACTTTTACTAAATAAACTAATTTTTGAAAAATTCCAATAAATATATTTACATTTAGTATAATAATTTTTTTTTAAAGATATTAAAATATATAACAATACAAGTTTGTATATCAATACGGCGTTTAAGAAAAATTAAAAATAATGAATAGATTTTGAAATAATCAATGCATGGATGATGAGTTTATGAAAATTTTTGCTGTTGGCAACAGTATCGGTTAAATATTAAGCAATCGCATTGTGATGCTTCATAACTGGTGTTTTACCGTATAGTTTTGCTAATTTTAGTTGTTTAAGTTAGTTAATATTAGTTTTGTTTGTTTGATTGCTTTAGTTTGTTAAATTATATTAATTTTTTAAATGACTTTTATTAATAAATTATATAATCTTTACCTTATAAATAATGAATTTTAACTTTTCAAATACATCTTCATTTCCTTCTTCAAATACACCGACCCTCAACTTTGGTTCATCCACAACTGCAAAACGTAAGAAAAAATATTTTATTTTTTTAGTAAAATAGTATTATTTATAGTTATTTTACGTATGATGTAGCTTTCGGATCAGCAGTTTCTACATTAGGTACAAGCTCTAATACTCCATCATTTGGGGCTTCAACAGGCTCGGTTTTTGGTAATACATCTGCAGCTCCTACATTTGGCAGTACTTCATCTAGTTTTGGCACAACTCCTGCATTCGGTACTACTAATGCTGCTCCATTATTCGGTTCAACATCAACTGCTCCTGCATTTGGAACTTCTAATGCACCTACCTTGGGTACAACCGGAACAAGCTTTGGTAATTACCATTTACGATATACTGATATTGAATGACATTAAAGGAATAAAATTTTTTATAATTATATGTGCTAAAGGTTTTGGAGGTTTCGGTTCCACTGGACAAACAACATCAAGTGGTTTAACTGGATTCGGCTCATTAGGAACTACAAATCCTACTTCAGGAACAACAGGTTTCAGTACATTTGGTTCTTCAACACCAAGCACTGGTTTATTTCAAGGTTTTGGTTCGACAAATACTGCACCAGGTAAAAATGTAATTATGATAACAGTACAATCCATTTTCCCCTGCACATTTGTTAAATTACAATCATATTAATATAATTAAATTTTAGGAACAGGTTTAACAGGATTTGGAACTGGGTTAGGTACAAAGCCAGCTACTACATTTTCATGGGGTTCTTCCAACTTTAACCTGCAACCACAACAAAATACAATAGATCCTAATCAAGCATTGTACAATGCAGTATTCAATTGTCAAGTGTTTGGAGATGAAAGGGATAGAACTTTGAGCCGATGGAATTTAGTACAAGCTTTATGGGGAACTGGAAAAGGTTGTACATTCATAAGAATAATATCAAATTAATAAATAATATATTTTTATTAAACTCGACATTAACTTTTTTTTGTTTAGGGTATTATAGTCAACAAGCTCCACCGGTAGAATTTAATATGAAAAATCCATTATGTCGATTTAAAGCAGTTTGTTATAGTAAAAGACCCAGAACGGAAAACAAAGATGGTTTGGTAGCTCTCATATTTAACAAAAAAGAAAGCGAAATAAGGTTTTTATTATAATTTTAAACAAAAAATTATTTTCAGAAAATCTATTTATTAAATATAATAATATTTTTTATTATTTTAGAAGTTTAGAAGCTCAATTGCTCACAAACCTAAATAACATATTAGGAAACAAATGTAATTTAGTACCTTCTGTAGAAAGTATAAAAGCATTTTCCGAAACAAAAACACTAGTGATCATTTATGTCGAAGAAAAAATTGTTTCTTCACCAAACAGGAAAATTCCAGGTAAGAGATTTTTCAATTTTCTAATTTTGCAGTCTCATGTTTAATGCACTAATTTTATATACTGCTTCTTATTAAAAACTACTATTATTGGTGTAGCTCTCGAACTGTCTGCATTTTTAACTCAACCTATGCAAAAACAACAATTAACAAATCTTCAAGTAGAAAATATATATCCGCAAGTTGATCCTGGTCAAGAGTCGTTAAAAGAATATTTGGATAATCCGCCGGCAGGTAAATAATGAGTTGAAATTTTTAAAAATAATTAGAAGTCAAATGAAATGATTTTAATTAATTATTATTCAAAGGTTTCGATGCGAGACTCTGGAAACAAGCTCAAGAAGATAATCCGATGCCTGACAAACTTATTCCCGTGCCTTTGGTTGGTTTTGCTGACGTACGTTGGAGAATGAAGTGTCAAGAACAGGAAACGGCTCTACATCAAGCTTTCCTTGATAAAATAGCCGAAGAGGTTGCTGATTTACAAAGGAAACACACAGAAACATTAGCCAAAATATCCGAATATAGATTAAAGTAAATTTTTTTTTTACACTCTAATAATTTAATTCATCGTCTAGAAAAAAAATTAAAATAATTTTTATTTTTAGATTTTCGGAACTTCAACATAGAATTTTAAAAATAATGATAATACAAGAAATATCTAGAAAAATGGGTTTATCACTTTTACCGGAAGAAGAAAAATTAAAAACTCGTTTCGAAGCTGTGTCCGCGACGGTTAATTCAGCTTCTTTTAAGGTAATAAATTTTGTCCGTTTTTACATTATTCGTTACCTTTTTAAAATTTTAATTTTATTATTATTATTGTTGTTCTTATTCTTAGAATCGTTTAGCTACACTTACGGAAGAAGTTAAATCTCATTCTAAAAGTAATAAGGAACCACAAAGGTATAAAATGGATTCCGATGTGATAGCCGACATTAAACAGGTAACGACGCGGGTATTAAAAATTTTGTAAAAACCAATGAAAAAATAAGTAAAACAAAATTTCCTTTTAATCATTACAGTTTTTAACGATGGAGCAATCAGGTATGACACACGTAATAAATATAATTCAGGCTGATTTGTCAGATATAAAACATATAAAAGATGGAATGCTGAAAATTCTTCAAGGGCAAATTCACTAATTTTTACCTTGCGTATTATTTGACATTATGTTAAAAACGATTAAAAAAAAAAAGAAACAATGAATTTTTTATAATTTTTGTATATAAATAAAAGAAATCAATATTTATAATTTGAATAATTACTGGATAAATTATTTATTTAAAAACTTACCTTAACTCAACCGCGTCACAATTAAACTTTTGAAAAAAATTTGTCGTTACTATTACGAAACCTGAAATAATTAATTAATTTTCAAAAGTTGGCAATTACGGTGGCTTGTCATGTGATTTCACGTGATCTGCCATTACTTTACCTTAAAGTTTAATAAAATGTCGATCTCAGCAGTTCAAGCAAATCGGGAACATGTTTTGGCAGTTTCCCGAGATTTTATTTCTCAACCAAGATTAAGTAAGTCTTTCTACATATTTTTCATTAAACATTTTCTCAGTATGAATTAAATACAAGACCTGAAAATAATAAATAAATGTAAGAGATCAAAGTTAGTGTTGTGTACCCATCAGTAAGTAAATTTAAGTCTCGAATAAGTTTTATAAATTCTAATACAAATTTGACTTTTTAAAATTGTTATTTAATTAAAATTAAAACAAAAAATACTTACTTCAAAGTAATAAATGAGTATTCATTTTAAAAGACGATCATTTTCACTTTAAGTGGGATAGATGTACCAGATATCGATCAGCTGACTTGATGACAAAATGAAAATTTTTAAAATGAAAAAAAAATTTATTTGTAATTTTATGGTTCGCAAACGATTCGAATTCGATTTTTTAAATAAAATCTTTTTATTTATTTATTTTTAAAGCTTATAAAACTGTTTCGGGAGTTAACGGACCACTTGTTATTCTTGACGATGTTAAATTTCCTAAATATAATGAAATTGTTCAACTTCGTCTTGCTGATGGCAGTTTTAGATCAGGACAAGTTCTCGAAGTCAGTGGCTCGAAAGCAGTAGTTCAGGTAAAATATTAAATAAATTGTATTTTTTACTCTACACAACTAACTACCTTGCTGTTTTATGGTGTTAATGATTGGAGGTTGAAAGTTCTGATTGAGTAATACTAATAAATAATTTATTGTAAAAATGACTTTTAGGTATTTGAAGGTACTTCTGGAATCGATGCCAAAAACACATTATGTGAATTCACAGGTGATATTTTAAGAACTCCTGTATCGGAAGATATGCTCGGAAGAGTATTTAATGGATCTGGAAAACCTATCGATAAAGGTCCTCCAATCTTAGCAGAAGATTTTCTTGATATTCAAGGTTAGTTTAAAAATTTCCCATTATGTTTAATATAATATTACTAATATGAACAATTATTATTTAAAATGAAAAAATAATTACCTTGTTTACTTTTTTGAAACAGGTCAACCGATTAATCCATGGTCGAGAATATATCCAGAAGAAATGATTCAAACTGGTATAAGTGCTATAGATGTCATGAATTCCATTGCCAGAGGTCAGAAAATACCAATTTTTTCAGCAGCTGGTTTGCCACACAATGAAATTGCTGCTCAAATTTGTCGTCAAGCCGGATTGGTCAAGCTTCCTGGAAAAAGTGTTTTAGATGATTCGCAGGATAATTTTGCCATTGTTTTTGCTGCCATGGGTGTAAATATGGAAACGGCTAGATTTTTCAAACAAGATTTTGAGGTAATAATATTATTATTATTATTATTTTTAAATCATCGCCACAAAAGATGTTATTGTTTAATGTGGAAATGTAATCAATAGGAAAACGGTTCGATGGAAAACGTTTGCCTTTTCTTAAATTTGGCAAATGATCCGACCATCGAAAGAATTATCACACCACGTTTGGCACTTACTGCTGCTGAATTTTTGGCTTACCAATGTGAAAAACACGTTTTGGTCATTCTCACCGACATGAGTTCGTATGCGGAAGCTTTGAGAGAAGTATCCGCGGCTAGGGAAGAAGTTCCCGGACGTCGTGGTTTCCCCGGTTACATGTACACGGATTTGGCAACCATATACGAGAGAGCCGGAAGAGTGGAAGGTCGTAACGGTTCGATAACTCAAATACCCATTCTTACCATGCCGAACGATGATATAACTCATCCTATCCCCGATTTAACCGGGTATATTACGGAGGGACAAATTTACGTCGATCGTCAACTTCACAACAGACAGGTTGGGTTTCATTATACACTTATCTATTATTATTATTATTTTAATTACAAAAAGTTGAACCGCCGTGTTAAATAATGTATTAGATTTATCCACCCGTCAACGTACTACCATCATTATCTCGTTTGATGAAATCTGCCATTGGTGAGGGTATGACGAGAAAAGATCATTCAGACGTATCGAATCAATTATACGCATGTTACGCCATTGGAAAAGATGTTCAAGCAATGAAAGCCGTGGTCGGAGAAGAAGCTTTAACGCCAGACGATTTACTTTATTTAGAATTTTTGAGCAAATTCGAAAAGAATTTCATAACTCAAGGTTTGTTACTCTATGGCCAAGTCTCTCAGTACATTTGAAATTCTCTGAAAAATGAAACTTTCTATTTTTTTTTTTTTTTTTTTTTTCTTAGGAAATTATGAAAATCGTACGGTTTTCGAATCCCTCGACATTGGTTGGCAACTTCTTCGAATATTCCCGAAAGAAATGTTGAAAAGAATTCCAGCGACTACACTTGCTGAATTTTATCCAAGAGATTCTCGTCATTGTCAAGTCAAATAAGAAAAAAAAAAAAAACAAAAAAATTTATTTTTTTTTTTTATTATTGTTTTTTTTTTTTTTTTCTCATTATTCGTCTGATTCGCGTGCATTCCACACTTTTACTTAATAAAAAAAAAAAAAGTTAATAAATAAATGTAGTTAGTAATTGTTAATATTAATAAATAAATAAATAAATCTCGAAATGAATGAAAGGAATGCGAGACGAAGGACCCGAAAATGGTTTTGGTATATTTTGAGCTTTTAAACACGTTTTTTCGCCCATTACGTTAAGTTAATAATGTTTATGTAATTCATCTATATGTTATCCGATTGTTATCGATTTTAAAAAATTGATTGATTGATTTATCGATTGATTTATTGATTGTTAATTCGTTCGTTCGTTCGTATCGCATTCAATGAATAGTTTTAGGGTGTTTATTCATCCACAAATTTTTTTTTTTTTTCTAAATTAAAACGTGATTCGATGTGCGCGTGTAAAATTCAATTTTTTTATCGTCAAAATTTTGTAAAAATGATAATAATAATAATTGTACTTAGAACATTTTTAGCGAAAATTAATAAATAAATGAATAAGTTTTGTTATTATTAATATTATTAATAATTTATAAAAATCGCACTAAAATAAGAAAACAGTATTTTATTTTATTTTATTTTATTTTTTGTATGTTCCCTTTAAAAAAAGTGATGATGATGATGATGATGAATTTTCGCTAAAAAGTTTATTATTATTATTATTATTATTATTAATGGCTTACATAATTAATTATTATTTATATAAATATATACATAAAATCTTGGTTTATATTTAATAAATGTAGAAATGTTATTTATGTGGTTATGATATATATTTACGAAATAAAAATATAATATTTGTTGTAATTTTTTAAAATTTATTTTATTTTCCCGCCATTTTTTTTTTTTTAAATAACTATTTCCGGTTTTGTTTTTCCACGGAAATAAAATACTGGTCGAGAAAATAAATGTTAATGATAAAGGTAAAATGGAAAATTTTTATATATTTAAATGTTATTTAATTGTTATTTAATTGTTAATTTATTAAATATATTTATTAATTTACAAATAATTAAACCAATAATAATAATAATAATAATAATAATATTTATTATTAAAAATCGATTCGAAAAAAACGGAAGACGTAGTAATTATTATTATTATTATTATTATTATTATTATAATTATTACCTTGAAAGTGAAGATTAAGACGACGACGACGATGATAACTATGATGATGACGACAAACAATATAAACAAACGGTTTAATTAATCAATGAGCAGAGACGACAACAACAACAACAACCAACAACCAACAATAACACCGATTAGTAAATAATAAGTTATTATTTCCGCTATCCCCGTCCGTCGTAAACATTGTCCGTTATTTATAAGTGACGTCATCACGGGGAAATTTGTCGAAATTGCGTCCTGAAAAGAAAAAAAAAAAAAAAACTTAAGAGTATCAATGCAGATGATGATGATGATGATGATGATGATGATGATACAATAAAAATCGGTGAGAATGATAATGATAATAATAATAATGATAATAATTACCTTTAAAAAGCGCAGCAGCAACTTTGAAGTCTTTTAGCACAGGCTGAAAATAGAAAAAAAAAAAAAAGAAAAAATTTTTTTTTTTTTAAAATAAAACGTCCGCCATTTTTATTTTGTTTGCTAAAATAATTTTTCGGATAGTTTTTTCAAGATGGAAATTAATAATTATTATTATTAATTAGAAAAGAAAACGTTATTTAATATACTATTACTAATAATTTTTATTATTTATTTAATAACAATATTAATTTCATTGTAATCGTTATGGTGGGTTTGTGTGTGTGTGTGTGTATGTGTTTGTATGGAAGGAATATTTAGGAGATTTACTGGACAAAATTATTAATAATAATAATAATAATAAATAAATAAATAACACGATAATATCAACAACAATAACAATAACAACAAAAAATTAAAAATAAATCATTTATAATTTTTTTTTTTTTTTTTCATTTCGTCATCACGGATAATTTAATTTTAAAAGAAACAAAAGAAGAAGAAAAAGAAAACAAACACAGAAAAGTTAATTAAAACAAAATAATAATAATAACAACAAGAACAACAACAACGACAAACTCAAATTAAATAACACAGAAAATAATTAATTATTATTATTATTATTAAGATTAAGATTATAATTATAATTAATAATAATAATAATAAAGTTATTAAAAACGCGCGCGTGTTGTGTGTTTTGTTTTCCTTTTTTTTTTAATCCATTTCAACGAAATTTTTTTATTCTATGACTCGCGTGTCGCCATCGTGACAATCATATTATTAAAATTATGTGACGTCATCAGTTTCATAATGGACGACGCGCATGAAAGCAAATAATAACAACCTTTTTTTTGTTTTTTTATATTTTCAAAATAAAAATTAATTAATTATTATTTAAAAAATTTTTTTTGTGTGTGTTTGTGTTTTTTATTTAATCGTTTTTATATTTTTGTTAACAATTAATTATAAATTATTAATTAATTAATTAATTAAAAACAAACGAACGCTTCGATTGTTAATAATTTACAAATGTAAGGTAAGTGTATATATAAATTTTTTAATCAATTTATTATTATTATATGTAACGCGAAAATGATAAAACGATTAATAATAATAATAATAATACACTTAAAATTCTAACTACTCAATTATTTATTTAATTAATTACTTAATTATTTTTTAATAATAATAATATTAATATAACGAATCACAAACATCAAACGCTATAATGTTAATATAATAATTAATAATCGCAGACTTGAAATTTTTCAGTATTAGTACTACTACTAAACTCAAAAAATAACATTAATAATGTACATAAATAAATAAATAAATAACTTATTATTATCATTAATGTTAATATACATATAATTACCTCGATTCTTGCTTATTTTTTATTATTATTATTTTTTTTTTTATAAATTATTATTATTATAATCTCAACGTACGTTTTTTTTTTTTTGTGAATAAACTAATATTATTATTATTAATATATTTAAAGCTATGTATATATATATTAATTATTATTAATAAGTGCTTTTAAAAATTTCAACGAGTGCATAATAAAATAAACGGCACACTAAACGCATACTTATATTTATATATATATATATATATATAATGAAAAATTATTATTATTATTATTAATAAATATGTTTTAAAGATGTTTAATTAATTAACGAGATAAAAACAATTTATTTTAATTACGTAACGGTTTTTTTAAAAAAAAAAACATTCCCGAATTTTCGAATTCATAAAAAAACAAACCAAACACTTTGCTTGCTTTCTGTTCGACGACGGTTACTTTTTGAAATTCGAGAACGTAGGGAAAAAAAAATATCACGTGACTCGTTACGTAATCGTGACGCATAATAACATACGTTTATAACATTTAAATCTAATAACGAACTATGATAAACGCTACGCTTAGCAAAATTATTTTAAAATTTTATTTATTAATTATTATTAATATTATTAAAGCCATAGAAACCGTTGAAAATGAAAAAAAAAAAAAAAAAAAATTAATTTTTATTTAGTTGTTATTATTTAGCTTTCGTCGAAATATATCAAATAAAAAAATACAAACAAACGAACGAACGAGCGTTACAAACCCAACGAATTAAAATTTCAAACTAAAGAAAGTAAACAAAAAAAAAAAAAAGAAAATGAGGGAAATTTTTTCCCTGCAACAACAAAACATTAAAAAGAGAAAAAAATTCCGCTTGATGGACGACGAATGAATTATTTATTATAAAATTAAATAAATAAATAAGAAAAAAAAAGTTTTTTTGTTTAGATTCGTTAACGAACAAAATTTAAAAAAAAAAAAAATCAATCAACCTTTTTGTTAACAAAATATTTAAAGAAAAAAAAAGAAAAAGAAAAGAAAAGAAAAGAAAATTTTTTTTTTTACTTAACGGAAAAATTATAATAAATTGGTTATTTTAATATTAATAAGGGTTAATGCTATTAGTGATGATAATAATAATAATCAATGAGGGGTTATGTTTTGTTTGTTTTGTTTTGTTTTGTTTTATCCTCCATTATTAATAAACAATTTTTTTTTGTTTTTGTTTTTTTTTTTTTGTTAACATTATAAATTACTTATTATACATATATAATTTTTTTTTTATTAATTCTACAACACAAGATATACATTTAATAATCTAATTAAAATTTTTTTTTCTGTCTAAAAATACCAACAAAAAAAGAAAAAAAAGAAAAAAAATTTTTCTTTTTAAATTTACAATAACAACAACAACATCAACAAAAACAAAATTAATTAAATAAATGAATAATAATAATAGTAAAAGTAATATTAGCAGTAGTAGTAGTAGTAAGAATAGTAATAGTATTAGTAATAGTAATAGTAATAGTAGTAATAATAATAGCAATAATAGTATTGGTATTAGTAATAATAATAATAGTAAGAAGAAAAAATCTTTTTTTAAAAATCATTCAAATATAATTGTAAAAAAAAAAAAAAGAAAATGGCGATCAACGACAAATAAAATTAAAACAAACACTTTTCTTTTTTTTTAAATATTTTTTTTTATTTGGGGGGGGGGGGCAAAAGAAAACAACCAAAAATTGGTTTCGATTTTTGAATAAATCGTAAAGAAAAAAAAAATTTTTTTTAACATCGTCGTTCATCGCCATTTTGTTTGAATTTTTTTTTTTTTCGTTTTAAAGAGACGTCGGAAAATTCGAGAACGAAGTTGGTTATAAAATCATTATTATTAATATTATTATTATCATAAATTACTTTCGTTATTAACACGAAAAAAAAATTTTTTTAAACAATTTAAAAAAAAACAAAACAAATATTTGCAGTTCTGCACTCGATGAATACAGAAATAATTATAATAATAATAATAATGATAATAGTAACATCAGAGCCGACTATAAATACATATATATGAGTTTAGCAG